GACGTCGAAAGGGGCATGGGATATACTGATCAGATGTTATGGTGGTGATGTATCAGTAATGAGATGAGGGCTTGTGGAGAAACACTTTCTGAACAGGTAATCATAGAAAAGATTATGAGGTCACTTACGCCTCAGTTTAATTACATTGTTGTTTCAATTGAACATTCTAAAAATCTGGAAACCATGAGAATAGAAGAGTTGCAAAGCAGTCTAGAAGCGCAAGAGTTGCGTCTGACTGAAAGAACTTCTGAGAGGGAAGTGGAGCAAGCTCTGAAAGCTTCTTTTGTCAAGAAGGACCAGAAGCAGAATAGACATGGTGATAAATTCCAGAAGTCAGAAACCTCAACTTCTGATGAAAAGAAATATCAGAAGGGAAAGGAAAGGTATGACAAGAAGAAGGTTCAATGTTACTGCTGTAAACAGTTTGGCCATTTTGCCAGAGACTGTAGAAACAGAGGAAGGAAATCAGAAGAAGAAAATATAGCCAGAGAAGATTCTGATGATGAACCTGTGCTACTGATGGCTTCTGATTCTGATGGAAACTGTTCAGGAGATTGGTGGTATATGGACACTGGCTGTTCAAACCACTTAACTGGGAACAAACAATGGCTGATAGACTTTGACTCCAGAAGGAGAACAAAGATCAGATGTGCTGATGATAAGTACCTTAATGCAGAAGGTATGGGAAATGTTAGAGTCAGAGTGAAGAATGAAAAAAACATTCTGATCAAAGATGTTTGGTATGTTCCTGGAATTAAAAGCAATCTGATGAGTGTGGGTCAGCTTATTGAGAAAGGTTTTTCAGTGGTTATGAAGGACAACCTCTTGACGTTGTATGATTCTAATCGGAAGTTGATTATGAAGTATGAGCAGGGAAGCAACAGAACATTCAAGGTGAATGTAGAAACTTCTGAAGCAGAGTGTCTTAGTGCAGAAGGCGCTGAAGCTGACAGTAAGCTGTGGCACAAGAGGTTGGGGCACTTGAACTATAGAAGCTTAGGGCATCTAAGTTCTAAGAAGCTCGTACATGGCATTTCGAAGATTATGAAGCCTCAGAAGTCATGTGAGATATGCATGAAAGGCAAGCAATCCAGATTGCCATTTGCATCAGAAGTAGCCCCCAGAGCAAAGCATACTCTGGGAGTAGTATATTCTGATGTGTGTGGACCATTTCCAGTACCTTCACTTGGAGGAAACAAATATTTTGTGTCTTTTGTGGATGAGTTCACAAGAATGACATGGGTAACACTCATCAAGTTCAAGCATGAAGTGTTTACTGAGTTCCATAAGTTCAAGGTGAAGGCTGAGAAGCAGAGTGGTCAGAAGCTGAAGATTCTGAGAACAGATGGTGGAGGTGAGTATAACTCTACAGAGTTCTAGATGTTCTGTGAGGAGAATGGAATAGAACATGAGGTTACTACTCCATATACTCCTCAGCACAACGGTCTTGCTGAAAGAAGAAACAGAACTTTGCTTGATATGACCAGAAGTATGCTAAAAGAGAAGAAGTTACCTCACATGTTGTAGGGAGAAGCTGTTGCCACATCAACATATGTTCTGAATAGGTGTCCAACAAAGAAGCTGAAGGAAACTGTTCCTTTAGAAAAATGGACTGGAGACAAGCAAAGTGTCATCCATCTGAAGGTGTTTGGTTCTGTATGCTACAAACACGTTCCAGAGGCTAGAAGATGAAAACTGGATGATAGAAGCAAAACAATGTTACTGGTGGGGTACCACAGTACAGGTGCCTATAAGGTTTATTGTCCAGAAACCAACAAAGTTGAGATCAGCATAGACGTCATTGTGAAAGAGTCAGAAACATGGGATTGGAACAAGCTTCAATCAGATTCTGGTGTAGCGACAACACCAGGGTTAGTTTCTGAAGATCCTTCAGAAAGTTCTGAAGACGAGTCAGAAGATGAAGACTCTGAAGATGAGTCAGAATCTCAGGGAGATTCTGATAGTGGATCTGATTCTGATCCAGATTCTGATGATGATCCAAAATCTGGTGGTGATTATACTTCTGGAAGGGAAAACTCTGAAGACATGGGGTCTGGAGAACAAGTTTCCAGAAGTAACTCTGAAGGTGGTAATTCTGAAGGAAATAATTCTGGACAAAGTCCAGAAGCTAGCATTATTCCGAGTTCTGGAGAAGCTTCAGAACCAGATCAGAGGCCACAGAGAATCAGACGAATACCAAGTAGGTTTGCAGATTTTAGCATGTTGCATGATATTGAAGTAGATTCCGAAGGAGAAATCGTTCAGTGTGCCATGCTAGTAGATTCTGAACCAGTAGGTATTGAAGAAGCGCTCAAGAAGAAAGTATGGCTGAATGCCATAAAAGAAGAACTTGAGGCTATTGAAAGAAACAAGACTTGGAAGTTGACAGAACTTCCAAAAGGCAAGAAAGCCATCAGCGTCAGATGGGTTTTCAAGCAGAACCTAAAGCCAGATGGATCAATTGGCAAACACAAAGCGAGACTAATGGCCAGGGGTTTTCTTCAGAAACCTGGACTAGATTACTTTGAAGTTTTTGCGCCTGTAGCTAGACACGAAACAATCAGACTGGTGATTGCTTTAGCTGCAAACAGAAATTGGCCTTTGATACATTTGGATGTGAAGTCTGCATTTCTGAACGGTCCAATACAAGAAGAAGTTTATGTGTCACAACCTCCTGGATTTGTGAAAAAGAATCAGGAAGGGATGGTATACAGGTTAAATAAAGCTCTGTATGGACTGAAGCAAGCGCCCAGAGCTTGGAATTTGAAGATTGATTCGTTTTTCAAGGAACAAGGGTTTCAGAAGTGTGAGATGGAGTATGGTGTTTATGTTCAGCATACTTCAGAAGGTAATATGATTCTGGTCTGTTTGTATGTTGATGACATATTACTCACAGGAAGTTCTGAACAAGAAACAATTGAGTTCAAGAAATTTCTGATGAATGCGTTTGAGATGACAGATCTTGGAAAAATGAGTTTCTTTCTAGGGATGGAATTTATATACTCTAAGAAAGGAATCATCTTACATAAGAAGAAGTATGAACTGAAGCTTCTGAAGAGATTTGAGCTAGCAAATTGCAAGGTTGCTATCACACCTGCTGATACGAATCAGAAGTTGGATTATGATTCTGATGGAGAGGATGTGGATGCTACAACCTTCAAACAGATGGTTGGTTCTCTGAGGTATTTGTGTAATACCAGACCTGATATTTGTTATGCAGTTGGAATGGTCAGCAGATACATGAGCAAACCAAAATGGTCTCATTATGGAGCTGCTGTCAGGATTCTGAAGTATGTAAAAGGAACTCTGAAATATGGAGTGTTATTTCCTTTTGGAGGAAAGATCAAATCAGAACTTCTGAGTTATTCTGATTCTGATTGGTGTGGAGATAGAGTTGACAGAAGAAGTACTTCTGGGTACTTGTTCAAGTTTCTGGGAGGTCCAATTTCTTGGAGTTCCAAGAAACAGCCTGTTGTGGCTTTGTCAACATGTGAAGCTGAATACATTGCAGGTGCTGTAGCTGCTTGTCAAGCAGTTTGGCTTCTGAATCTGCTGCATGATCTGAAGGTTGAAGTTGAGGAACCTCTAAAGCTGATGATTGATAATAAGTCTGCAATTATCTTGCAAAGAATTCGGTGCTACATGGAAGAAGCAAGCACATTGAGACGAAGTATCACTTTCTCAGAAGTCAAGTGCAGAAAGGAGTGTTAGAAGTTTTGTACTGTAGCACTCAGAAGCAGCTGACAGATGTTCTGACAAAGGCGATAAAAACAGACCAATTTCTTCGCTTGAGAGATGAAATTGGTGTTGTTAACTTCTGATAAGTTACTAAATTACGGGATGATATTAGAGGATAATTTAGTATTTGTCATTTGTTAGACATTCTCATTAGGGCCTATGTGGCATTCTTATCTTTGCTACTTTGTGTATAAATAGGTGTACTAGGTTTACATTTAATACAATCAATTTCCTTCAATAATTAGTGGCAACTTTTAACATTTATTCTTTTCTCTCTTCTTCCTCAATTTCATCACCTTGCACTAACAAAAATGAAGTGAAATTAAGAATCAGAGAAAACCCATTACAAAAGATACTTTTTTTGAAGAAGATCTCATCTCACCTTGAGTACAAAACCAAATTTCATCATCTTCATCAATAAGAATCTCAACTGAAGTAGTGAAATCAAATCAATTGGGCGTAAAGAAGTACTCGTACATCTCGTCTGGAACGAAGGTGGAGTCGATGCTGTCCCAATCAATGTTTTCTGATTCCATCTTCAAAGAAGAATCTAAAAAGTTCAAAAATAAAAAGGATTAGAAATGAGAAATTGAGAGGAAAAGAGAGTGAAAATTTTGAATAAGAATGTAATGGTGATGGTTGAAAAATGCGTTGTTGTTCTTTGAGATGAATGTGTGGGTGCAAAAGATTAGAATGAAGAATTGGATGTGAAATGATCTATGATAACAATGGTGCATCTCATATCCAATGAGTCATATTCATTTGCAAAGTAAAAAAAAAAAAAGTCTCTCACATGTAACGCACAGGAGACGACGCCCAAACATCGTTGGGAAAGATGGTTTTTTATTAAACATTTCAAAAAGTAAAAAATAAAACTTTCACCCAATTAAATTCATCTCGGCAAGTACTAAAAAAAATTTCACATGTCCTGCCACTCCATTAAATTTATTTAATTCTTTTTTTAATTTAATTGATATACATATTTTATACCGTTAATTTTTGTTTTAATTAATTTCAAAATTTTATATACTATGAGTGATTGTGATCTCGTTAAATTTTTATAACTGACTTTTATTTAATTAACTTTAAGATATTAATCTGAGTGGTTGCAATTAATGACTTTTTTTTAAACATATTTTTCTTTCTCACTGATTCTGTTTCCATTCCCTCCAAATCCACCAAAGAGAGAATAAGGATCGAGTGATTTGAGTGGATGACATGACATTAAGCTGATACGGTTGAGCTGAGTGAGTAAATCATCCATGGCCACGTTACACTGCAATTCTCTTATTCTCAACAAAATCTCTCACCCCATTAGAAGAACACACTCTTTCAACCCTGTTTTCTCCTCTCCAGCTTTTATCCAAAATCTTTCCACTGGATTAAACCCCAAATTTTCCAAGTCAGTTTCTATAACTATTACTCTGCACTTTTTTTCATAATCAGTATTTAGACTTCGAAGATTACTTCTGTTGTCTTGTGTTTGTTACCAGATTGGGTTGTAACGTTTCTCCTGACAACACACTTGTATCCAATTTCTCTGTAACGGATTCCTATAAACTCACATATTTAGAGGTGAGTTTTAGGGTTCTTCCACTTTCACTTGTTTCTCTTCATTTTCATGCTCCTTTCACATGGATTGGGTTGTTTTGTATTGTATTTAGGGAAATAGTTGGCTGTGGAATGTGGGTGGACCAAATATATTGGTTGATCCAATTTTGGTCGGTAACTTGGATTTTGGAATTCCTTGGCTATATGATGCTTCTAAGAAATTCTTAAACAACTTCCAGGTATCTTTTGACTTTTCATGGATGCTACTTCTAAGAAATTGAATTCATAATACCTTGATACAAATTACTCTCATTATCTATAGTTTTCAGAGTAGGTTAATCGTGTAGTTAGACAATTTTGGGTCTCATGTCACGAACTCGAACCCACCTGCTATCTAAAGTTTATTACTGCATGGTGTGGAAATTCATGATCTAGCTATAACATGTATGCTTCTATACTGCAGCTCAGTGATCTACCTGAAATTGATTGCTTACTCATTACTCAAAGCCTTGATGATCACTGCCATTTGAAGACCCTAAACCCTTTTTCTCAGAAATTTCCAAATACTAAAGTTATATCAACTCCTAATGCCAAGACCTTACTCGACCCTCTTTTCAGAAATGTAAGTATGTATCTTCGTTTGATATTCCGTCTTCTGTTTCATTGTTGAAGCTGTATTTGTGTATTATGTATATCTCGTGTATTTTTTGTTTATCTAATCTGAATCACGCCTAGTTGAAATCATCATTTTGATGTATCTAATCTACATAGTTTGATGCTACATGAAGCATGGTTTGGGGATCTTGAATGATTTATCTTGAATGGTTTGATGGTTACAGGGGGTGGTCTAATTGAACAAGCTAGGGGGTTAGTGTGGTTAGAGGATGACAGAATAATAGGAAGAGTGGTTCTTGAGGACTGATTGAATTTGAGAGGGAAATCACTGGAACAGACTCACTTGAGAGTGAAGATTTATCTTTGTCAGTTCATTGTTAAATATGTTTGGATCTCAACCCGAAAAGCCGGCTCAAAGGGTGAGGTTGCCCTTACATATTTATACACAAGCAATGTGAGACTTCAAACAAACTCCAGCAACACAAATAACAACTTCAACACCCACCCTCACGCTTAGCGTGGGCATGGGCCAAACGCCCACATTACAGTCCTTAACCCGACTCTGATAACATGTTAAATATGCTTGGATCTCAACCCGAAAAGCTAGCTCAAAGGGTGAGGTTGCTCTTACATATTTATACACAAGCAATGTGGGACTTCAAACAAACTCCAACAACATAAATACCAACTTCAACAATTGTAATGTAACCTTCTCTTTTGGTAGTGATGACCATCCAAACAAATATTCATTTTCCTTTTTTTTTTATCTACCATTCTGGTCAAGTTCTATAGTAAACCCGAAAATTGACTGAAAGTTTGGGCAATGACCTAAGAATTTAAGAATATACATTTTTTATTAGGTAGAATATATCAATTATCCACTTGTTAATTTCAAATAGCGCGAACAAATATTTGTCATGTCGATTACTTTCCTAACTTTTTATTTCGTTTTTTTTCTTGTCTCCAGCATTCATTTTGAAGTAAAAAGAGTTTCACAAAGATAACAGAGAAATTTAACATTCTCTTTAAATACCAAGATAATAATAGTCTTTTTTGTAACTAAGTTCTCTCCTCTCACCGTTGGAGCATATGCTTCTTCAAACATGATGCTTGATTTGCTTGAATTGTCTTATGAGTTATGAGCCATTGGTTCATTAACAGTGCACAACTTGTGTTTAGTGTTAGTACTACTAGACCTCCTATTGTCAAAACTTGTTCTAGGAGGAGGCCATGAATTTAAATGGGCATGGGAAGAAGTTAGTTAATTAAGACAACAGTTATTTAGTAAAATAATTATAATAAGAGAGGAGGGAGCATACGAAAGGTATTGGGTATTTTCATGTTTTAGATAGTTGGGAGCAAGGTAGTTAAAATTGAGATTTTACGCAAAATGGGGAAGGGGAAGTAAAATCGCAAATCTTGAAATCGTAACACTAACACAAAATGCTAAAACTCATATTTATGCATATAAATTCATGTATATGCATATAAAATAGCATTAGTATGACAAAGAAAACCTTTATCACTTGAAATACTTTTGTAAATTTAAATTCATAAGCATAGTTCATAAGTAAGGTAATTAAAACCTTAAATCACACTTCAAGTGCTTACATAAATTTAAATTCATTCATAAGTATAATTGCATAAACATTCAAAGATCGTAAGATTATACTATTCAACGATTAACCGAGGAGGATTCTACCAGATCCCACCAAAATAGGATTATGGGTATACTCATAATCGTTGAGGGAAAGCATAATCGCAAAATCATGGGATTTTACGATTTAAATTGGGATTTGAACTATTATGGTTGGCAGATGCTAGACTATCTAATTCATAGTTGGTTACTTGCATTACCATTCTATTCTCTTCTCTCTAATTGTATTTCTATATTTATATGTAAATATTTTCTCTTTTAGAAGCCGTGTTTAAAATCCCGGGCCGATGTTCGACTTGGTCTAAGTTCCAGATCACTGGTCGGGAAAGTGAGTCACCAGTTGAGCTGCATGACTGTTAAGCCGGTCTATTTATTTTCTACAAGTTGAATGTTGATGTATGCACTAATTTGATTCTTTACTATTAAGATATTCCTTGTATGTAATTATTCTTTTATTAGGATTGATTTAGTCCTATTTATTCCCTTAATCAAAAAATTCTCTTTGTATAGTTTACAATATAAATACAATCAAGCAGAGAGCTAATATCTCAAGTCAATCAATACCAAAACTCTGTTCTAAAATTGTACAGGTCTCACATTCATTGGGCCTGCTATGAGTGTGAAAACTCTAGCCATCACAGTCACTTATGAAACTGTCCTATTAACAGTCCAACACACACGACCCTACCTGAGGTGCTGACCTCACAATCAGATTCGCTGTTGTCATATCAGCCAATCCCTGAATTTCCGCAGTCAATTGCTGCCGCGCGCGCTGTCACACTTGTCTCTTTTGCTATCAGTCCAGCGGGCGTGTGAAGTCCACACGCCTTCTTTCAGGCCTCCAACAGGGTTGCATCCAGTACCATTCTTCTTGTCAACTGCTGCTCTTCCTGTTTTGGCCTAGTTTGATTAATTATTCAGTGTTTAATTTGCGCTTTGGTACTTCCTAAGCGCTTTTTGGTACTTTTTGGACTGTTCTGTTCTGTTCTCTTTAGTACTGGTCCTTCTATTATCGTCAAATATGAGTTCAGAGTCTGATCTATCCAAAAAAAAAAAGAGACACATCAAGCAGGCTGACAATTGGTCTCTCTTCTATGGCAATCCATTAAGTCTTCTCTGGTTCATTATTGTTATTCGACATCATGTTATGGTAGACATATTCGTGAGACGATTGTGTCCGGTGAGGCTTCTACTTCATTTGTTGGTTCTAATGACCAATTGGCAGACATATTTCAAAGGCTCTCCGTGGAACCAAGAATAACTTACATATATGACAAGCTTGATACCTACAATCTGTACCCTCCAGCTTGAAGGGATATTCCTGTATGCACTAATTTAATTCTTTACTATTAAGATATCTTTGTATATAACTATGCTTTGATTAGGACTGATTTAGTCCATATTTATTCCCTTAGTTAAGGAATTCTCTGTGCTGTTTTCACTATAAGTTGTATCGAGCTGAGAGCTAATATCTGAAGTCATTCAATACTAAAATCCTATTCTCAAGTAATGTTAATGTTATTAACATATCATTATGTAAATAAAAGAAGAGTTAAATGCTGGCAAATTCAACAAAAGCATTAGCTGGCCCGGTGGTTGGCGAGCCTTCCATGGACACCCTGGGTTTTGATATCGGGTCTCCCTACCACAAGTTTATTTTTTATTTTTTTAGGAGCTTATGCGAGTGGCCAAAGGAACCGGGTCAACGAACTTGCCAACGGTTTGTGCAGTAGAACTGTGGTTCAATGGTGTAATGTCTAAATGCAAGAACTGATCCAAACACCTGACAGGTCCGGCACTGGTTCCCTTTGAACTGGTTCAAAGTTCCTAAACATAGATTTAATAAATGAAGTATTGTCAGTATTCAGTTATTCATTTGTTTGGACCAGTTTCTGTCATTTAGTTGTACTCTTTTACTTCATCTTGGCTTTGTTGACTGAGCAGCACATTTAAGTTCTGCTTACCAATATACCCTGTCAACAGTTAGCAAGCAACTGACACCTTCAGTATTCATGAAGCACTGGGTCATATGATATATAGACAAGTTATGGGTTATCTACTTAAGTTTTTTTCACCTAGTTTAACATATTTTCAGGTTACATATATAGAACCTGGACAAAGCTCTGAAATTGAAACAAAAGATGGTTCTAAGATTACGATCAAGGCTACAGCAGGACCAGTTCTTGGACCACCTTGGCAACGTCCTGAAAATGGGTAAATACTGTTGGAAGTTTCTGGCATATTTTTCTCTTATGCATGTTAGTCTCCTGTTTATATCCATCTTATTGGTTACTAGCTCGCATACAGGCACATTAGTGGCTGTTTGTCTGCTTTTTTAAGTCTCTTTTTTCTTTCCCTTATTTTTCCACTTTTGATTGGGCAAAAAGAACAAAATTGCAAATAAAATAGTTTAAATAAAGGGTGAAGGTGGAAGAAAATAGAGTTACATCAATTGTTAGTAACCCCTTTATTTATAAAAAATTCAATTATTTGATTGGCTAAAGAAAGATAAAATTATAAATAAAGTAGGTTAAGTCAAGGTTAAAATTGGAAGGTGAAAGTCTCACCAAAAGTTGCTATGCCCTTTATATATAGATACAGATTAATTTAAATTCTATTGAACAAAAATTAATGGTTTTGTGCTGCATGTGTTGTAGGTATCTTGTTACATCTCCACTGGTGCAATTGTCTCTCTACTATGAACCTCACTGTGTGTATAATCATCGGTTCATTGAAAAGGAAAGAGCAGATATTGTGATCACACCGGTCGTAAAACAGTTATTGCCCAATTTTACATTGGTTTCAGGACAAGAAGATGCAGTGAAACTTGCAAAGCTTCTTCAAGCCAAGTAAAGCTTTTGTAATTATTGTAAAACTCTCAAAAACACGATTCAATTCAAATGTGCCTTTGTCAAAGGTCCAAAAAGCATTCTCGCAAAATACTAAAGTGTGAAAAACTGTATCTGCAAATAGAAACTTTTGGGGAAGGAAAATAAATTTTGGTCAAAATATTTCAATTAAGGATCATTTAACCATTGAAGTCATTAGTTACTTCAAATATTGTCTACTACCCTTAGCCACTCTTTGTATCATAAACTAGTCAAATGTTTATAAAAAAAGTTAAATGGTTAGTTGTTCCTCAATTGAAAATATTTTTCTTAGAATCCATTTTTGGTTGTTTTTCCTATAATATTCCGGTTTATTTGGAATAATACATTTGAACATTTTGGTGATTTTGACCCTTTTTTGTAAAAGTTTTTGGTTAGAAATGTGATTGTATTTCATAGTTTTCTATGTATATGTTAGGTGATATTTTCGTATTTGACAGATTCGTTGTGGCAATGAAAAATGGGGATTTAGATAGCAAAGGGCCTCTTGCAAGCATAATTCAGTCAGAAGGAACAATAGAATCATTCAAGGTTAGATTTCTCCAACTATGTACAAGTCTTTCACGTCAAAGTCTCTAGCCGATAGTTCTTTTAAGTGTTTGATTTGCTCATGATCATCTCATGTGATAACAATATCATTAACATACACAATGAATAAATTTACCTCCCCTTCCAAGGAGTGTTTTACTTAGTGTGATCTGATTGGCTTTGTATGAATCCATATTTTTTGACAACTCAAGTTAATCTTTCAAACTACGCTCTAGGAGATTGCTTGAGACCATATAAGGATTTTCGAAACATGCACACCTTGTTTATGGTGTTGGATGATTCAAGTCCCGAGGGAATTTGCACGTATATGTATACTTCCTCTTCTAACTCACCATTTAGGAAGACATTTTTAATGTCTAGCTGGTGTAGTGGCCAATCCAAGTTTGCAGCTACGTATAATATGGCTCGTACTGAGTTAAGTTTGGCAACTGGAGGAAACATCTTTTCATAGTCTATGCCATATGATCGGGTGAAACCATTTTCTACTAATCAAGCCTTTTATCGGTTTATGCTCCTATCAACATTGTATTTGATTGAGAATATCCACTTACATCCAACTTGCTTCTTCCATTCTAGTAGAACAGTAATTTGCCATGCGTTATTTTTAATCAATGGTTAGAGCTGTCGTTGACTTAGTTTGTTGAAGTGCCTCTTGAATATTTTTTGGAATGTTTGTGTTGTCAAGTGTTGCTCCAAATGTCTAGTATTTTTGTGATAATTTCTCATATGACACAAATCTTTCAATGGGATGTTGAGTGCAAGTTCTCTTCCCTTTTCTTAATGCAATAGGAACAACATTGCTGTTACTTCGACTCGTATGAACAAGTTTTGAATTAGGAGCAATAAATAGTATGAACAAGTTCTGAGGAGATTCCATTTTCTAGAGCCAGATCAGATTCATGGCTTTGTCCCAAAGTAATGTTTGACTCTACCAGATGTTTGTTTTTCTTCCTCCTAGTGTAATCTTTCAGTCCAACTTCTTGTGTGAGTTCTATATGTGCAGTTTCAAGGACAATTTGAGATGGTTTTGTGGGGTTTCCTAGTTCAGTTGATGTGGAATTTTCTAGTTTAGTTGGTATGAGATTTTTTGGTTCTACTGGTGCAGAATTTCAATAGTAGGCTCAACCATCTCAAAATTCAAAAATTGGAGTTCTATTGTTCTTGTTCTGGATTAAGGTGTTCTCCCCCTTAATTCCAACTTAAGAGTAATAAGGTTGATTTTCAAAGGCCACATCCATGATGTGGTAATTTTCCCCCCCTTAATTCCAACTTAAGAGTAATAAGGTTGATTTTCAAAGGCCACATCCATGATGTGGTAATTTTTTGTCGTTGTGGGAGAGTAACACATGTATGGTGAGGTAAGTAGCCAAGAAAAACACGACCGATGGATTTTGGGTCATGTTTGTTGTCATGTGGGTTGAGATTGTTGAAATTCTGATATCAAATATGTAATGTCGAAGGAGATGTCACGACACAAATATCTGAGGACAATATAAAATACAACAATATAAAAACAGTAAAAACACAAGGGATTGTTAACCCAGTTCGGTGTACAACAACACCTACTATGGGGGCTACCAAGCCAGGGATAAGTCCACTAAATAGTATCAATTCATAGACCCTCAGTAAACAACCAGTTTACGATCTAATCACTTAATCACTACCCGTGCTATACTTCTACCTAAGACATACTTAGGTATGAGGCCCTCCTCAAATCTCTTCAATCACTAACAGTGAAAAACAACAAAATTATTAAGTTTGAAAAACCTCAATCATTCAATACTTAAAAGCTTATGAATGATCCACAATTTACAACTCAACTAACAAATTACAACTCAAGTATTGAAACAATACTAGAGTGTATTACAATTAAAAGATTCAGACTTTTTAAACACAAGGAATATATTTTTCTTCAATTGTTGCAGTTTTACGAATAAGATTGCAAGTCCTTATAAAGGCGCAACAGCTTCTTTATGGGCTTGGGCTGAAAAACAAATATTGCAATATATTGAATTCCTTGAATATCTCCGTGAAAGTAGGACAGGATATAATCCATAAAGATAAGATAGATCGAAAAATGTTCCTCCATATTTTTCGCATGTTATAAACCACAAAACCTGAATATGGCACGCTTAAAAATAGGAAACAGAAAATCTGAAAATTGACATCTGCTTTGACATCATTCAAAATCAGTTGAGATGATTTACTTCAAATGTCAAGACATTAAGCAAAACATTACACAACAGTGTTTTACCAAAATTGCTGCCAACAAACAGTTTCTTCAGTTTGTACACATGGTTAAGAAAGCTTGGATCAACAAATCCCTTAGGTTGTTCCACATAAACTTCCTCATTCAAATAGCCATTTAAGAAGACACTCTTTACATCCATTTGAAACAACTTAAATCTCAAAATGCAAGCAACTCCTAAGAGTAGTTTGATTGATTCAAGTTTGGCCACAGGGGCAAAAGTTTCATCAAAATCAACTCCTTCAATTTGAGTGTATCCTTGTGCAACTAATCTTGCCTTATTTCTAGTAACCACCCCTTTTTCATCAGATTTATTCTTGTACACCCATTTAGTGCTAATCACATTTGTCCCTTCAGGTCTTGGAACCAGATCCCAAACTTCATTTCTTTTAAATTGTTCTAGCTCTTCTTGCATAGCATTAATCCAGAACTCATCAGTTAAAGCTTCTTTGACATTCTTAGGCTCAATTTTTGAAACAAAGCAAAAGTTTGACATCCCTTCTCTTGTTCTAGTAGTAACTCATTTATTTAGATCTCCTATAATAAGTTCCTTAGGATGATCTCTCTGAGTTCTGATTAAAGGCCCTTTATTGAGTTGATTGGGCTCAGGATCTTCTTGAGTTGGATTAGTATCAGTACTTCTGTCATTAGATTTTGTTGGAATGTCTGACAAAGATGTTCCAACATCTTCGAAGACATCTTCTTCATCATTCCATCCTCTATCATCAATAATAACATTTATGAATTCCATCATAACCTTAGTTCTGGAGTTAAAGACTCTGTAAGCTCTGCTATTTGTAGAGTAACCCAGGAATATTCCCTCATCACTCTTGGGATCCATCTTCCTTGTCTGTTCACGATTAGCTAAGATGTAACATTTACTTCCAAAAACATGAAAATATTTGACAGTAGATTTTCTTCCCTTCCATATTTCATACAAGGTGACTGAGGTGCCTTTTCATAGAGTGACTCTGTTATGGATATAACACGCAGTATTCATAGCTTCAGCCCAAAAGTGGTAGGGTAACTTCTTAGCATGAATCATAGCTCTGGCAGATTCCTGAAGAGTTTTGTTTTTGCGTTCCACAATCCCATTTTGCTGAGGAGTAATGGGAGAGGAAAATTCATGACTGATTCCTTCAGAAGAACAAAAATCAGCAAATTTATTGTTCTCAAATTTCTTTCCATGATCACTTCTGATTCTGATGACATGACTATCCTTTTCTCTTTGAAGTTTTTGACAGAGATCTTTAAAGACTTCAAAAGTTTATGATTTTTCTCTGATAAAACTTATCCATGTGTACCTAGAGAAGTCATCTACAACAACATAGACATACTTCTTTCCACCAAGACTTTCAACCTGCATAGGTCCCATCAAATCCATGTGAAGAAGTTCCAAAACTTTTGATGTGGTGAGATGTTGGATCTTCTTATGTGACATCTTAGTTTGCTTTCCAATCTGACATTCACCACATACTCTCCCTTATTCTATCTTGAGCTTAAGAATCTCTCTGACGACTTCTATAGATATGATTCTTTTCATTCCTTTCATATGCAAGTGTCCCAGTTTTTGATGCCACAGTTTAACTTCATTTTCTTTTGCTAAAGCACATGTTGAGGAGAAGTTCAACTCTTGGGAAACCCATAAATAACAGTTGTCTTTAGATCTGATTCCTTTCATAATAACTTCATTCTTTTCATTGCAAACGAGACATTTTGTCTTGGTGAAGTTTACTTTGAACCCTTGATCACACAGTTGACTTATACTTATTAGGTTAGCTGTTAACCCTTTAACAAGTAACACATTATCAAGTTTCGGGACTCCTGAACATTTCAGCTTTCCAACTCATTTGATTTCACCTTTGCCTCCATCACCAAAAGTCACATAACTGGTGGAGTGAGATTTGATATCTACCAACAGATTCTTAACACCTGTCATGTGTCTAGAGCAACCACTGTCAAAGTATCAGTCATCTTTGGTTGAGACTCTGAGAGAGGTATGAGCTATGAGACTAGCAACAATAGTCTTGGGAACCCACTGTTTCTTCTTTTTGCTATTTTGAGAGATCTGATCAGTCTTGAGAAGAGGAGCAGTTTTAGGATACCCATACAACTTGAAACAGAAAGGTCTTATGTGACCAAACCTTCCACAGTGGCGACACCTCCAGGGCTGAAATTTCTCTCTGGTGTGATTAAATTTTTTCTTGCCATGATGTCTTTTCTTGCCATGATGTTTGCCATGATGTTGAGACATTTGATTCGACATCTTTGGTTTAGACTTGGCATGAGTGGAATCTAATGAAGGTTCTTTTGAATAAGGTTCCTTTTTCTCATTAAACTCTAGACCACTCTTGTCTCCTGACACTCTTTCCACTTGAAGAATTTCATCTAATGTGTCAGACCCATTATTCAACATCTTGAATGATTTGACCATTCTGACAAGATTCGAATTCAGAGAAGTCACTTCACTTTCCAGACTAGAGATAGTTTTCAGATGTTCTTTCCTTTCTGCCTTCAGCTGAGTTATGAGAGCTTTCTGTTTCTCCCCTTCTTGGCAAACTTCTGCACTTTTGAGACACAGTTTTCTGTACGAGGCAGCTAACTCATCATAGGTTAGTTCACCATCACTAGAATCTTCATCAGAAACATATTTGTCTGTCAATGCTTTAACATACTTGGCAGATTCCTCTTCAAGATCATTCTCAGAGTTCTCTTTAGACCAAGTAACAAATAAATTCTTCTTCTGTTTCTTAAGATATGTAGGACATTCAGCTCTAATGTGACCAAAACCTTCACATCCATGACACTGTATTCCCTTCTCTTGAGTGGATTTTTCTTTATCCCTTTTTCTTCCAAACTCATTTGACTTATGGATGTCAGATGAGATGTTCTTGACATTTGATCTTGGATTCCTATCCATCTTCTTTTATCACTTTGTTAAACTGTCTTCCAAGCAGAACTAAAGCATTAGATATTCCTTCATCTGTATCCAGATCACAATCCTCCTCTTCATCTTCAGTATTGGTTACAAAAGCTATGCTTTTGCTCTTCTTTTTAGATCTTTCATTGATGCTTAATTCAAATGTCTGAAGGGATCCAACAAGTTCATCCACTCTCATCTTGTCAATATTTTGTGCTTCTCCTATGGCAGTCACTTTCATATCAAATCTCTTGGGGAGAGACCTAAGCATTTTTCTCAACAATTTGTCTTCGGGTATTTTTTCTCCTAAAGCACTGGATGCATTAGCAATCTCAAGAATGTTCATATGGAAGTCATTAATACTTTCATCATCCTACATTCTCAGATTTTCAAATCTGGTGGTGAGCAACTGAAGTCTTGACATCTTAACTTTGGATGTGCCTTCATGGGTAGATTGAAGAATCCCCCAGGCATCCTTAGCTACTTCACATGTGTTTACTAATCTGAAAATGTTCTTGTCAATTCCATTGAATATAGCATTCAAGGCTTTAGAATTTTCAAGTGCAATTTCATCCTCTTTTTTAGACCAATCTTCTTCTGGCTTTAACTCAGAAGTAGGTTCTCCATCTTCTCCCAATTTGACAGGGTGTTTCCATCCTTTTAAGACAACTTTCCAAGCCCTGCTGTCCAGAGATTTTAGAAAGGCCACCATACGTGGTTTCCAATAGTCATAATTACTTCCATCCAGAATGGGTGGTCTGTTCACAAATCCTCTTTCCTTGTCCATAGTACCAGAAAGTATCTTCCCTAGATCTCACCCAGATACAGAGCAGGATGCCTGCTCTGATACCAATTGAAATTCTGCTATCAGATATGTGATGTCGAAAGAGATGTCACGACACAAATATCTGAGGACAATATAAAATACAACAATATGAAAGCAGTAAAAACACAAGGGATTGTTAACCCAGTTCGGTGTACAACAACACCTACTCTGGGGGATACCAAGCCAGAGATAAGTCCACTAAATAGTATCAATTCATAGACCCTCAGTAAACATCCAATTTACGATCTAATCACTTAATCACTATCCGTGCTATAATTCTACCTAAGACACACCTAGGTATGAGGCCCTCCTCAAATCCCTTCAATCACTAACAGTGAAAAACAACAGAATTATTAAGTTTGAAAAACCTCAATCATTCAATACTTAAAAGCTTATGAATGATCCACAATTTACAACTCAACTAACAAATTACAACTCAAGTATTGAAACAATACCAGAGTGTATTACAATTAAAAGATTCAGACTTTTTAAACACAAGGAATATATTTTTCTTCAATTGTTGCAGTTGTACGAATAAGGGTGCAAGTCCTTATAAAGGAGCAACAACTTCTTTATGGGCTTGGGCTGAAAAACAAATATTGCAATATATTGAATCCCTTGAATATCTCCATGAAAGTAGGCCAATATATAATCCATAAAGATAAGACAGATCGAAAAATATTCCTCCATATTTTTCGCAAGTTATAAACCACAAAACCTGAATAAGGCACGCTTAAAAACAGGAAACAGAAAATTTGAAAACACGTTTAGATTAGAAGGCAAATGTCAAGACATCTGCTTTGACATCATTCAAAATCAGTTGAGATGATTTACTTCAAATGTCAAGACATTAAGCAAAACATTACCAAAACAGTATTTTACCAAAATTGCTGATAACAAACACTTACAATTGTGAAAAGGCTAAACATCCAAATATTTTAAATGGGATTAAGTTGATATTTTATTGGTTGGGAAAAAGGTTTGTAGAGTCAAATAAGGTGTGTCGAAGTTAATGATACAGGAAAGGATCCTATTTATGAGATAGGTGGCTGAAAGGATAACCTCTCCCCATAAGTGTTTTGGTACATTTGTGAATAGCATGATAGATCTTGTTACTTTCAATAGGTGCTTATTTTTCCTTTCCGCGACCTCATTTTGATGAGGGGTATCTACACATGAACTCTCGTATACAATTTCATGGGTCTTAAAGTAAGACTCTAGGGTTGAATTAAAATATCCACGGCCATTGTCATTTCTGAACACCTTATTTTTGTTTGGAATTGCGTTTGCACCATAGTTTGGTTAAAAGTCAAGCTCTTATACCATGTTAAGAGATGTAGTTGAGTTTAAGTTAGGTCCAATCACATTTCTTAACACGTGTCTAACTCATTCCTACAAAATCGGTTTGTAGGACGAGGATTGTGCCCCACTTATAAGCACATCTTCAGGCCATATATTGTCGGATGTGATACTCTTAACACATACTAATAGTTGTACAATCAGAATCATATAAATATGATTCTGATTTTGTAATTAACATGGGCTACGATAGAGAAACTGCTTGAACAGTGTCCATCAGGCCATGGTGTTAATTTCTTAAGTGCTTACAGCATGAACACAGAATGTGCACTGCCAGAATTAAAAGTCTATTACGGTTAACCATTTGTAGTTTGTACATTTGTGTGCTTGAAAGTAAGCCTTTCCTTCACAGGATTTCTAGCTTTCTCACTTCTCCAATAAACAGCAAGCTGTTGGTGATTTTTTTGGTGGTTTCTTGGCTCTCTTTCTATCTCTGAGTACTTTGGAGGAATCCTTAGGCTATGAATCTTATCATACTTCTCTATACTTAGCTTTCCTGTTCTTCCATTCCATCGACAACTAGATTGAGCAGCATTAAATACTTACATCTAGCTTTCTTCCCTGAGAGAGAGAAACTTGATTGTGGTTAATTTCCGATAGTAATCTGGGTTTTAAATATTCCTCTTTTGTAATTTAATAAGCAACCAAGCACCTGCGGAACTCTCTCTTAAAACTAATTGTTGTAGGTAAAGATCCAAGACACTTAAGTACTCCACCAAGTATTATATTCTACTTGAAGTGCAAATTAGGGAAAGGGATTGAATTACCAGGTCAATGGGACTGTTTGAGGTCTATTAGCCATATTGAGAGAGAGTGAATAAATAGTGGAGAAAAGGGACTTATTACTAGTTATGTAATTGATGTCCTGTAATCAAGGATCGATGGATCAAGAAAATAAGCAGTGCACGCGTGCATAACAGTGGCAGTGAAATTTGAAGCCTAAACCTCCTCATATAACTAGTTGAGGTCAGTAAATATAGTTGATGGTGCTTGAGGATCAAACAGCGTAATGGAAATAAAAGGAACAAGTGGAAAATTTTGTGCAGTGATGGTTTGGTTGTATGAGGGTGATCATTTAGGAAACACCACCTATCAATTGTGCATTCGACTTTGTTGTAATGGCCACAATCAGGACAGTGTTTTCCTTGCTTGTGAGACTGACCATGGTTAATCTTCTGAGAAACCAAGGCAGAGGAATCAATAGGCACATGTGGTTCGTCCACTTCAAAAGATGATTTGAAATACTCTCCATCCCATCCCATTATATTTTCCTTATTCCTTCACGTGCATCCCTGATTGTTCAAGTGCCTGATTTATGTCTCACCTAACCCATGATCCTTCACTCACATCACAGCAACTGCAAGTTTAATATTTGGCTTCATTGGTCAGTTTCCCCTAAATATTTGGCTTCAGTTACCTAAACCACCAGCCTTCAATTGACATACTGCATATAGTTAGGACTTGTTGGTAGGTTGCTTACTTTTCTTCATGAGAAAGATGCATACAATACTGCTTCTATCAACAAGCTCTGTAGAAGAATTATATCAACTTAACTTTTTTGCTTCCTTTTGCACTTTGTGAATTGTGGCCTTTACATTATTCTTTATCTTAATCAGCTAAACTTAGTGTCTCTCATGTACTTTGAATTTGGACTTATTGCTACTACAAGAACAAAAGTATTCTAGGATTGGTGTTTGGAAGAATTTATTTAGGCTTATCTAAAATAGTAAGCACTTGCGCAAGTCTTTGCGAGAGCTTATAAAAATAGCCAATAAAAATATGTATAAGTTGTTTTTAACTTATTTCACAATAAGTGCACTTCATAACTTATGAAAACAACTTACGGCTATAGAATAGCTTATGCCTAAATAGCTTATGTAATTATTATCACTTATTTAATTAACCCTTATTTAAGCTAAATAGCCAAAAAAACAACGTCGGTCCATTACTGATGATATGGCCGTGGTGGTCTGTTGAAAAATGAAAAACTCCTCAACAACTTTATTTGCTTTGAAGTTACTCTCTGGTCTATCTTTTGGGTTTTATGCTAAGTGACTCTATCTTCAAATGGTTATCAATGCAGGAGCTTCTATCAAAAGAATTACCAGGTGTGGAGGTTGTAGAGCCCATCCCAGGTATTCCAGTTGAAATTCCCGCAAATTAAATTGGTGGATTTCTTGCTCCCGTTCCCCCTCCATTTTCTCAGGAAGGACAACATGAAATCACACTTTCTTCATGTTAAATGAACTCTACTCTCACAATTGTGGGACTAGGTAGGTTTATTCATCCTTCAGGTTTGGAAGGAGATCCGAATAGTTTACTCAAACCAAACTGATCTTGTTTGGTTCACTTGTTTTATGTTTCCGAGCCATGTCTAAAGTTAAAGAACTGAAACTGCATATGTATGCTGAACTAAACCAGACTCATACTGTGTGCAATCTGTCAAACTGAACTGTTATCAAACTGGCTAACTCAAACTTTAGCAGTCTGTTCACCAAACCTGGACAAATAGTCTTTAGTAATCAACAAGAACTCGATTATACTGTGAAAAACAAAGTAAACACCAACAAAAATAATTACAGCACCAGTAATTATCATAGCAAAAGTAAATTAAATATATTTGTTATTCATTATTAATGAAAGGAGTATTAGTAAGACACTATTTAACACACTCTCTTTTATTGATCAAAATTCACAGGAATTACATCAGATCACGTGAGTTTCATGTCAATTTGGTAGAATAGACGATTTTAAAATTTTAACCAACAAAAGAGTATGTTGAAAAAAGTGTCTTAGAGATTGTTGGCGTTATTTATTAAGATATATGGTAGAAAGAGTAGCTTATGAAAGAAATTTTTTAGTTTTATTATTAAAAATAAAAGGTGTCCTAATACTATTGACCATTAAGTGTAGGTTTGATTCCACTTTTGAAAAACCCATACTCAATTTTAGAGAAGAAAAATTGATTGAGAGTGATTTTGAAGTGTTTGGTTTATCAAAAGTAAAATTGATTCTGCTTCAGAATTGATTCGACTTGAAGTTAAAATTTGTAGCTTTTGTCTTAAGAGTTGATTCAAAGTGATTTTTACATTGAAATTTATTGTTCAACTCATTTTTACATAAATGATATTAAAATTAATTCTATCAAATTCAATTTTGTGAGAATCAATTTTGTCCACCGTCAATTCAAACATACCCTTGTACTTTGTTTATGTTATAAAAATAAACTAGAGGGATACACGTGCGTTTGCACAAGTACTATTGTGATATGCACACTTTTGTTTTCAAAATGTAAATAAGAAAAACAAATATTTGAATAAAAAATATAATTATTCTTATATATTAGAATTTTTATTTTAGAATTATTTATAAAAATATTTAAATCAATACAAAACTTAAAGTTATTAATTCATATTTAAATCAATAGTTTAATATTAGTATCATATGCGCGTAACATATCAATATCTATATATTCGCACGGATACTCGTGTGGTATGTTAAGTTGTCATTAATTATTTATAAATTTGAAAAAAATAAGATATTGTGATGAAATAAAGAAAAATCAAATAACTTATTAATTTTTCCTAATCAAAATAGTTTATTATTTTTAAAAGAGATAATAATTTGGTTTCTACAATTTATTCCATATATAAAAACATTTGAATCAACAGTATAATTGTTCTTATATATAAATATTTTTGTTTTAGAATTATTTATAAAAATATTTAAATTAATAATAAACTTATTCTTGTTATTATTCAATATTTAATTAAACATGTTAGTATCAGAACCATATGCACGTATTATACTATTACCCGTTTGTTCGCACAGATAGTGGTGTGATTTGCACACTTTGTTTTCAAAATATAAATAAGAAAAACAAATAAAATTGTAGTCAATGTATTTATTAAATAAAACTATAATCTCAAACACAAAAAGAAAAACACAAAAAACTCAGTGAATCCAATACCACCTAACACCAAAGAAAGTAATCAAATCATAATATAAATTTCTTTGTTATATTTTTCAAAATCAATAAAACTTAGAAAAAATAAAGTAGAATAGAAAGGTAAATTAAAAAAGATCTAAACCACTGTAAATCACCATGAATCAATTTTTCTAAACGGATATAACATAAGCATAAGAGAGACCTCCACAGCAGAGGCCACTATCCCTTTGATGGAGTGTACATCTCTCTCTCTTTGTCTTTCTCCTCTCTCTTCATACAACCTTTATGGATGAACCTTCTATAGGTTAGAAAAAAACAAATTTATATTTAAATCCATAAAGAATAACATTAAAAAATAGCATTAAAATACAGAGGATGATGAAAAAAATAAAAATAAAACTAACATTTTTATATAAGTCCATAAATAAAAAATTTATGGTAAAAAAACATTTAACTAAATGTGTAAACCAATTTTTTTATATAATTAACCATAGAACAATTTTTAAAGACAAGATTTAACTAATATATAACAAAAAGATGTAATGTTTACCAAAAAGATAAACATATTTTTCAGAGTTGGATAAAGAAGAGGAACAATATCCTCCATAACCAAAACGAAATCCGTCCGAAAATCAAAACACAAAATAATTAATCAACAAACCATTATTCAATTAACAATAAATCATATTTTGCTTGAAAGATACAATTTCAGATTTGCAAAACAAAAAAAAAACTTGTCAGAAACTTCAAATTTTCAAGACCCATTTTTTTCTTGGAATCTCCCGATCTGTTTACCACCTAAAACAAAATAAGAGGAAAAGCATGTTCAAAAGAATGTGAAAAAAGAGAAAATAAAGACAAGATTTGACTAATATATAACAAAAATATGTGATTTTTTACCAAAAAGATAAACATACCTTTTACAGTTGGATCAACAAGATGAACAATATCTTCCATAAACAAAACAAAACTTGTCCGAAAATCAAAACACAAAATACTTAATCAACAAACTATTATTCAATTAGCAATAAATCATATTTTTCTTGCAAAACAAAAACAAAACTTGTTGGAAACTTCAGATTTTCAAGGCCCATTTTCTTCTTCGAATCTCCCGATCTGTTCACCACCACCTAAAACAAAATAAGAGGAAAAGTATGTTCAAAAGAAGGTGAAAAAGAGAATAAAAAATGAAAATTATTAAGAGAGTCCCATGAAGAAGATATACCAGATAAGATATTAGGAATAAGATGATAGAGTCACATGAAGAATATCCTGATGATAGAATAGTATTGGAAAAAATTCAGAATAATGAAGGTTTGGGAGAGAGAGAATGAGAAGATGAAGAGTAAAAAGCAGAAGGATGGTTGTGTTACGTTGCAATGACCAAAGAAAGGAATGGTTGTAATAAAGTAGAAAAATGAAAGAAAGTCTGTTAGACTATCCATGTGGAGGCTTGGTTGATCAGCAGGACATATTAGGGATTATCAGAGCTATTTCTTTTCTTGTATGATAGATTTATTACCATTCAACTAACACTTTAAGATAAATATTTATTCACATAAATAACGCGGAAATGTTAACCCAAAATGTCATAATCATCTCCAATTCTTTGTACTAAAAAAATTAAGGTAAAATACTCATTTTAGTCCCTTAACTATACCCTTGAGTTCATATTGGTCCCTTAACTTTTTTTTGTGTCATTTTGGTCCCTTAACTTTCAAAAAGTTTCATTTTAGTCCTTTTTGTCTAAATTCGTAGCTAATTAGACGGAAAAACTTTGAAATCAGCCGCTAAATTCGTAGCTAATTAGACAAAAAGGACTAAAATGAAACATTTTGAAAGTTAAGGGACCAAAATGACACGAAAAAAAGTTAAGGGACCAATATGAACCCAATGGTATAGTTAAGGGACCAAAATGAGTATTTTGCCAAAAATTAATCACGTCCAATTCTAAAAATCTCAATAACAATCAAAGCCATCCAGACCAAACAGGGCAGTAATATCTAATGTTATCAAAATGGCATACTGATTAGTGCTACATTTTTTTCTCTCTTCGATTATGTTGGAGATTTAACTTGCCAACTTCCAATTTTACTTAGCACTCTCACATATTGCGTTATGGATTTTTACTAGAAATTTCAAAACTACATCGGAAATTTTAAGTAGAAAATCTTAAGTTTCATGAGTTTATATCGGAAATTTTGAAACTACACAATTTTTTTTGAAAAAGTAGTAGAAATTTCCGGTAAAAAATCATAACTTTCATGAGTTTTTATTGTAAATTGAGAAATTTCCGATAAAAACTCTTGAAATTTTTTACCTAAAATTTTGAAATGTATGAGTTTTTATCAGAAAATTCAAAATTTCTGATAAAAACTCTTGAAACTTTTTACCATAAATTTCGAAATGTATGAATTTTTACTGAAAAATTTTAAATTTCAGATAAAAGCTCTTGTATTTTTTACCAAAAAATTTGAAATGTATGTTTTTATCTGAAATTTCAATAAAACTCATAGCAACAATTTTAAAATGAACTATCAGAATTTTGGTCTAATATCTCCTAATTATACCTGACACCCCCCATATTTTTTTATAATTCTCAAACTACTCGTGGACAAATTTAACCTGTCATGACCCCACACCGACAATACACAAGAGAAAGAACATTTAACCTGTCACCCCGTTTATACCCACATGTTTTCACATATTATTTTAATGACAAAAATGTTCTTACTATTATTTATCCAGAAAAAATTTACATTTATTAAAACAAAATTAACTTTTACTAGGCTGTAAAATTCAAAACTTGCGATAGTTAAAACAAAATTGTCGGTACAAATATTTTGCATTTTTCCAGATATTTATGTTTTTACCAGAAATTGTTGAAAATCCGGTATATTCTGGAAAACTATTGCACTTTTAACGAAAATATATGGAATTGCTGGTGAAGAAATATCGATAATTTTGAAATTTTCGGTACGTATCTGGAAAAAACCAAAAACATACTGGCAATGTTCGAAATTTCCAATTAACAAATAAAACTTCCAAAAATTTTAAATTTTCTGATATTTTGGAAATTTTGCCTATATTCATAATTTTCGGCAGTGCAGAATAATGCTTTACTTGTGTGGTCCGAACTAACGGGGTCTTCTATAGATTCCTATATAGATTTTACATAGTTCTTCACCACTGACGATGTATATTTTTTATGTAACAATTTCAAAATTTAAAGGTTCGTTTTTATGATATTGATAGTTTACTCTTTATATGTTGTAAATGACAGATATTTCAGTCCCGATCTGAAGTATTGGCATAACTATAAATTATTGGTAAACATCATGGTACTATTGTTGTCACTGTTCGTTCTGATACTGCAAATTGGAAGCGAGGGAAGAAAGATAAATTAATTATGGATTATGAGAGATGAGGAAACTACAGAAGGAAGAATACAACTGAAAGCAATAATTCCTTAGAAGGCATTCATAGTATGAAAATTAAATGTACTTTTAGGGTGAGATTTGTGCCAAGTGGTAGCTGTTGGAAGGCGATGGTTATTGAGTTGTAACTCATTGTGTTGAAGCAGCATGTTGCTCGACAGAAGGAAGCTTGTGTTGAAATAGTATAACCTAGTGTGTGTCGAAATGTCGAAGGAGTATCCTCGACAAGTATTTCAACTTAGACATATTTTAGTAAGTGTTCACTAAAATATTTATTTTGGCCTTTTATAGTTTTGGGCTTTAGATTAGGGAGTAAGCTAGCTCAACTATAAATAGAAGGAGTAACCCCTATTTTGTAACACAACTTGTATTCACAGAATTTTGCAGTTGCAAAGTGAATAAGATTTTTCCACAGTTTATGGGCAGAGAGCAACTCTACAAAAATCATCATCTTCTCCTGATTTTTTTCAAACCCTAATTCACTCTTTCATTGTTATTTTGCACTGATAACAATCTTGTTCATCAAGATTGATATAAATTCTCCATATGTTTTGGTGATTTTCCAACATCTGGTATCTAGAGCTCCAGTTGCACGATTCAAGGCAAGAAAATCATGATGACAATGAATCATCCGAATGGGCATTTTTCAGCAAGTATTTCAATTCTGAAAGTTGATAACTATGAGAATTGGTGCAAGAAGATGAAGGTTGTGTTCTGTTGTCAAGATCTTATGAAAGAATGGTTAGAACCACTTAAAGAAAATGCAACAAAAGAAGAAGTGTTTGCCCACACAGAATTGAAGAAGAAGAATTATAAAACTATCTTTATAATTCATCAATGTATGAGTCCAGACAATTTCAAAAATGTAAGTGATGTAGAATATGCAAAAGAAGCCTGAGAGATTATTGAAAAGTCCTTTGCAGGTGCATAAAATGTGAAAGAGGTGAGGTTACAAACTCACAAAAGAACGTATGAATTGCTTCAGATGGAAGAAAGTGAAAGCATAACAGATTTCTTCACTAGGGTTACGAAACTAGTGAAGGAAATCAAAGTATGCGGAGAAGTGCTGACGTCAAGATCAGTTATCGCAAAGATCTTGAGGTCTTTGGCTCTGAAATTTGACCAAGTGATGGTAGCCATAGAAGAGTTTAAGAATTTGTCAACATTGACAAAAGAAGATCTTCAAGGGACACTTGAATATCATGAACAAAGAATTTCTGTAAGAGCTGCAGGCAAGTCGAAGAGTGATGTGGCTTTGCAGGCGCAATTAATAAGAGAAAAGAAAGGAAAATGAAAGTTGTTCGACAACAAAGGTAGAGGAGGCTACAATAATTCGATTGGTAGAGGAGACCAGTAGGAAGGAATTGTGTCGAACCAGAGAAGACCTCCATACCAAGGCAACCAAAGAGGTGGTGTTGGAGGTAGATGAATAGATGGTGGTCGAAAACCTGACAAGAGTCACATTCACTGTTTCAATTGTCAGAAGTATGGTAACTATTCTAGTGATTGTCCAGAAAAACAAAAGAATCAAGAAAGTGGTGCAAAGTTTGCAAAACATAAAGAAGAAGAGATGATGCAGATGGTCACAACAAGAAAGGAAGATATATTCAAGGACTAGTGGTACTTGAAATCAGGATGCTCAGCACACATGTCTAGAAGGAAAGATTGGTTTGTGAGCATAAAACCCTCAATGAAGAACATGGTGAAATTCGCAAATGACAATACTCTAGAAGCTGAAGGTATTGGACACATTCTGATTATGAGGAAAGATGGCAAGAGGTCAGTAATTTCTTATATGTTGTACATACCAGACATGAAGAGCAATTTGCTCAATATATGGAAGTTGGTTGAATATAATTTCAAAGTGTCGATCAAAGAAAAGATGATGAGATTCGTCGATGCAAGAGGAAGGCTAATCTTGAAGGCTCATATGTCTCTAAATAAAACCTTCAAGATTGAACTAAATGTGATGGAGCACAAGTGACTTGCAACTACAACTAGCAGGGATGAGTGGATATGGAACTATCGACTTTGTCATCTCAACTTCAAAGACATTAGAGATTTGAAAAGAAGAAATATGGTTTCAGGATTGCAAAAAATCAACATTCCAAATGAGGTGTGTAAGGAATGTGTGCAGATGAAGCAACACAAGAATAACTTCAACAAGGATGCGGGAAGCAAGTCGAAGGCTAATCTTGAAATCATATAATCTGATGTATGTTGTTGTTGTACCCCAAAATTTTCCCTCTCATTTCTCAAGAAATATCTCACAATATCTCCATTGGTTCAAGACTGCACAAGGTTTGATCAGCTCAAGACACCTCTTTAAGCATTGATGACTCAAATTAGGGTTTGGGTTTGCTCAAGGAAAAATGGAATTTTAATGTCCCATATGAATTTCATGGATCATTTTGAACCATCAAGATTTCTCATGTCAAGTTTCAAGTCTTGGATCACATTTTTGCTCAGTCAATTGATCAGTTGACCTAAAATCAATTGTATTAGGGAAAAAGTCAATTGTGGTCAATTTACAGTCAAACTTCATAATTTTTGGTCCATATCAACATTATGAACTCATATATGTCAATTGATCAAGTTTGGATCATAATTCCTCAAGAAATTTGATCAGATCATCAAAAGGGCAAAATCCTCAAAATTGGGGTTTTGACTGGGAAGGTTCAATTTCTGACTTTTGACCTGAAAAATGAATTATTGGTTTAAGACATGATCTCAAGGATTAAAATACGTCACTTTGACCTAAGGGCATGGCTAAAAAAATTTCTCAAGTTCAATTGATTGATAGTTGAATTTCAATCAACTGATGAAAAGTCAATTGTACACTAAAAAGTCAAACTTTGACTTTTTGATCAAAATCAAGTTTCAAAGATTACAATTCATCAAGACATGTCAAAATATGAAACTTGTTCATCAAGAAATCAAAAAGTCAAGATTTCATTTTGAAAAGTCAAAATTTTCCAAGACTTAGAATTTTTCTAAGTGTTGAAAAT